GTGCAGCGTCACTGCGTACAAAGACAGTGCAAAAAGGGCAGTAGTGCAAACAATTATGGATATAACATATAATAAAGAAAATAAAATAAAAAAATTGAATAATAAAAATAAAAATAGAATCATGATAAAGGTAATGATAGTAGCCTATTATCAAAAGTAAGTCCACAAATAAAGAGTTCGAGTATTTGTGTGTTGGAGACAGTGGAGCGGGTATTGTTAGTTGAACGCACAACGCGCTCTGTGCTGGACTTTACACCTGCTTTGATCTGGTGCAGGCATAAATGCGCATGCGGTGGAGGCGCACTCTAAACTCACACTGGAGAAAACTGGACGTGGATATCACAAAGACACGCAGTTTAATTTATTTCATGTTTTGCTTAACTAATTCTTTGAATAAAACTATTGAGCTATAAAGGGGAAAAACGCAGAAGAAATTTCCCGTTACATTAATTTTAGCACAGCTGCCATTCATTTTCACATTAGTTTTTGAGTTAGGGATTAATATTAAAGTAGCCTAGTAAAAATGTCTATACTATAAATAATATTATAATTTATTATATCCATTATTATTATTATTATTATTATTATTATTATTATTATTATTTTAATTATTATTATTAAGCTATACAATTGACAAAACGCAGAACAAAATATTTGCTTTCATTTTGGCATAGCTAAAGCACACGTTTACAGTTATGTAAAAAAAACATCCCCTTCTACAGCAGCAGTCAATTTAGGACACTTAAAAATGTCTTTTGCGTTTAAAGATGATCGACCTGCGAAGTTATGTTTACAGTGTTGTAAAAGAAAAAGGTAGGCTATTTAGTGCGTGTGGATTTACCGCGGATCCACCTCTTGCGCTGCAGGCTGAATAATATAGGTAGACATGGCTTTCTGTTTGGCTACACTAATGCCTAAAAATGTAACTAAGTAACACATTAATTTTAGAAACTATTTTTAAATGGCATTTAACATTTAAATTAATTTTTTTATTTAATGTAACATTTAAATATAATTTAATTTAAAACATTTATTTTTTCCTCGCTGATTTTGGTTGAGTAATAAAGCGTGATGACTCAGATGATCTAGTTTAGCTTGCATGTGTGGGCGTATTTTGACGTCTTTACCTAAAACTTTACACATTTATAATGTTTAAAATAAAACGGAAAGAAATAAGGAGACTAACATAATTTAAACCACTTGTTTGGTGCTTAACATTATCTTTCTGCATTAATGTAAACGGTATCGTTGCCTTCATTAATAAAATCGGTAATAGCAAAACTGCATATTATTATTACTATAAAAAGTAGGACTATATCGGTAATGCAAAGTAATGAATTAATAAATAGCCTAAATAAAAGGAACAAGAAAGGACCAAATTCAGTCGTCAAGTGCAATGGGATTGCGCCCTTGCGCCCTCAGTTATGATATCCTGCCGCCGGGCCTGCTATAGCGAAACTTTATTGTTTGAGAAGAAACAAAAGCGGAAACTGTGGATGAAAACCTGACTGGGAAGATGGTGACAACATGAATTTTCTGTTCTTCAACGAGAAAAAAAATCGCAGACAGGACACAATGACGCCGTTTATTATACAACGCAGGTCGTGTTTACGATCATGAATATTAACAACTAATATTAATATCATATCAATAACTCCTCTTGCTTTAGACTTTACCTTTTAGAGCTTGTTCTTGTTGGCGCAATATAAGTTTATTGCATGTATAGGGTACGAATCAGATTATGAAGAATGATTAAGAGCATGCTTTTCCTTCATTGCATCCTTTCCGTAAGGTGTTTTATTTATTTTTTTATTTAATTTATTTATTTATAATTTTTTTGAATAATGATGACAATATTTACTGTCTAAACATTCATCGGTATACTACCAACAAATTACGCCCCTGTACCCAAGTAGCCTACCTAAGTTAATTTACATTTCATGTAAAATTAAGAAATAAAAAAAGACCAAAGTATTAAGCTAAATATTCGTACAAACGAACATGTTTGTTTTTTAACTTTCGTTGATAAAACAACACAATACAGCCTAGGCTAGTTAAATATTAAATAACTTTAACTGCTTGAAACAGTAAACGTTACATTTTAGAAACTTCTCAAATACTAATCAATAATAATATAAATAGTAACGAAGAACAAAAATGTAACAACATAAGTCAGATGTTGGAAAAAAAAACTGCGTCTCTCTGCCTTTTTTCTATTCATATTTTAAATTATTTGCCAGAAAAACTAACATGTTGACTTTGTTCGGTTTAAGCGGAGACTTATTTGAGATTACAATGTTTCCAGCAGCACTGAGACTGTGTGCCTGTAGCCCATACAGATACTTTTTCGCAACCGTGGCAAAGAGAGTATCTTGCTCCGCCGCCTGCATTTCTCGGAAACCAGCTCTACATTGTGGATCGGCGCGTTCTCAACTACCAAATATGCTGCTCCATTTCTCATCAACGTCTACTATTTATCAGTTTCTCTTTTGTATTTGCCCATTTTTGAAAAGGCCTCTCTACCATACCTGGCTGACTAGCTGGGCATTTGCGTTCAGTAGATGACACCGGCTGGCTCCGCATGTCATGGCTGGGTGACATTACCACAGATGGCCATGGAGGTTCGACGTGTTTGTCCACTTATTTTTCTAAACAAGCCCTACAAATAGCTTCATCCTAATTATTGATTCGCCTTACTCGTTCGCCACGAATCCAAAATGTTTCCAGATTGGCGATGTAATATAAGTTTTCCAGCAAGGTTCATGGCTAAACTTGAACTTGCTGTATCACGTCTAAGTTAACGTTATGTTCATAAATGTATAGGCTATTTGGCAACAAAACAGAAAATGTGTGTTCTAGAGTGATTGTCGTCACGGTGACCGTCACAGCCCTTATATGACATTGCATACATTTGCATACATGTTTTAAGCTATAAAATGAAAGCCTCAGTTTGGTGCGGAGTTATTATTATACAAAAATCAAGAAAATCTTTGGATTTGTTTGATTCGTAGATTGTAGGCTATTTTAAAAGCTGATATTATATAAGAACTATTAATAACTGTAATTTTCAAAAAATAAAAAAATAAATAAAAAAGGGGTTTGTTGGTTGTAGCCCACCCTAAATCATCAACAGCCTGCTTTTTTTAAGTTTATGAAGCGGCTCCATACAGCACAGAGGTGATCTGCATCAGCGCTGGTTATTGTCAACACTGTGTGAAACTGTGACGAGAAATATCCTTCTTTCATTTTGCTTCTTTGGCAAAATGTGTCTGTAGAAACGTGTGTTTGCATGTGTTACCATCCCAAGAGTTAACAAATATTTGTTGTACATTTAGGGGCCGATCACAAAGCGCACGCCTTTACGTTGCAAATACGCGCGACGTACCGCGCTGCCTTTTATGGTTGACAAGAAAAAAATAAGCCTCTTTTGTATGTCACTAGAAAACGACTGAATTAGCTGGTGTGCGCGAGTCGAGTTGCTGTCGATGTTATAATTGTAATTTTAATAATATTGTGATATTTAAGATCTATAAATACAGCTCTGGATAACTTGAAACAGCGACCACAAGTCTCTCCTCAGTCTTTAAAAGTTTATCGTACTCACATTGACAACCCAAACCCCGCTGTCACCTCAACAGAAAGCCTGCAGTGCTTTCATTTGACTGAACAATGAAACAGAGGTAACACGCTTTTTCCACTCGAGCACACAGCGCGCAACGGCAAAACTTAAAGCGCGCAGAGCAAGCATAATCAGAGCGTAAAACACTGGCGGCAGTCAGTAAACCATTAAACAGATGCCCCGTATGCAGCCAAACTTTAAAAATGTATAAAGCATATTTTAATCGTTTAACTGATACCATTCATCGGTTACAAACGCACCCTTTCGGTTATTGCTTAATCAGTTATTTTGAGCATCCCCAACTAAACCGCATGTGCAAGCTCTATTTTTTTTTTCTCTCACGGCCGCACGCCGGAGATCCGGCATGGTGCCGGAATACTTTAAGCCCTGGTAAGATCATGTTTATCACTATAAGAAAACTAAATCAAAATTATATTTAATTGAACACATCTGATCACATAAGGTACGCACAGAAAAGTCTGTTTAGTGTTGTGAAAAGGCAAAGCTGAATATCTGTGGTTAAACTGCCACCCAGCGGTCAAAAGCTGCTGGCGCATCAAGTACCGCCGTCGCCGCGGTATGAATGGCGGCATAAGGAACACATTGAAGTAGTAACATCTGTATTTCAACCATTAACCCTGCTGGTAATCTGGAGAATTTAAACATTGGCGAACACAGCAGCACGGATATAAGTGATGTGTTTGAATGGTAACAAACTCGACTGATAAAAGACAAAGTCTGCCATTCTCTAATTCTCAAACAGCTCTGCTGAAAAAATGCTTGCTGCAAACCAACAGCTTTGCTGTATCGGCTCGGACAGTATTGCAGGGAAAACAACAAACACATGGAAACAAACACATATAACCCATGCCGTGCATGGACAGGGTCTCACCCAGTCATTGGGTCTCACTGCTTGGCAGGTCTGCCTGGTCTTCGTAAAGCACATGCTCTCATGAATAATTAAGTAGCAGGGTCTTTTCATGGGATAAGCAAACTCTGATATGAATAACATTGAGAAACTGACGCGTCATCACTTTGCTAGCAGATGCACTCTGCGTCACTGATTTTGATCCCGCCCAAAACATTATTTTAAACCCAGAAGATGAAATTAGTTGACAAATCTCAAAATAATCCAGTTTTTTCCCACAATTAAATCTGACAGGTGGTAACGTTGTCTTAACTGATGCTCAACACACACAAATCTGCTAAAATAAAAAAAGTGTGTCTTGAACCTTTATGAAAGTGCTCAAATGTTAGCGGGAAATGGACGTTTTTATTATTTAGGTATCGATTGGTATCAAATTCTAGTATAGTGACAACCCTATGTCCTTGTCCTTTCGTGATGTTTATCTCTGACCTCTCTGATCTGTCTTTCATGCAGGTGAGGTTTTCGACTACTTAGTGGCTCATGGGAGGATGAAAGAGAAAGAGGCCAGAGCTAAATTTAGACAGGTGCAGTTCTCTTACTGTTTTCTTTCAGCACACACACCGTGATTGGCCTTCTCCTTGGTCTGAGTTTAAATAAGTTTATCTGCCTGAACTAATCCTGTTTTGTCCAGTAATGACCCCAGTTCACTAAACAGATCTTCACTGTTATTGCACTAGGTGTTGGAATCCAATGTTGCTCTTTAATAGATTGGACTTCAGCATTGTCATTAGCATTACACTGATCCAAACTAAACTAAAGTGAATGTCAGCAGTGACATTTATAGTAAAGTGAACTGAAGAAGTTTTAATTTACTAGAACTAGCACCAGCGTTCTACACTACTCTCCTGCCTGCTTGAGATATTGTGATGTTCGACAGATGGAAATATTTTATTATATTATATATTTTATTGTTTTTTGGAAACAGATTTTCAAAAAAAGTTGGAACAGTAAAACATTTACCACTTTGTAATGTTGCCTTTCCTTTTCACAAAACTTAAAAGACATTCAGGGACTAAAGACACTAAGTGATGAATTGTTTCATTTTTAATTTTGTCCCATTCTTACTGCAAACAAGTCTTAAGGTGGGCAACAGTCCGGGGTCTTTGTTGTCACATTTTTCACTTCAAAATTCACCACACATTTTCTATTGGAGACAGGTCGGGTCTGCGGGCAGGCCAGTCAAGGACCTGTATCATTTTCCTCCACAGCCATGACTTTGTAATGTGTGCAGATTGTGGTTTTGCATTGTCTTGTTGAAATATACATGGGTGTCCCTGGAAATGAAGGTGGCATTAGAAAAATGGTTTTCCATACTGTCCCTTCTTTTTTCTGATTCGAGTTTGTATAATTTAATGCAAATGCAACTGTTTGAATAGACCATTTATTGATTCCAGTCTTAATCTTCTTATTTTTTTCATAGTTTCTTTCTCAAATTTATACAGATAATCAAATTTATTGTATTGTACAGATTGTGTCAGCAGTCCAGTATTGTCACCAAAAACGCATTGTGCACCGAGACTTGAAGGTAAGCAGTTCTTGCTCTTAATTTTTAACATGAACAATAAAAAAACAGAACACTGTTTTATTATATTCAAGTGGGCACTTAAACCATAATTTAAAGCAATATTTTGTTAGATAATTTTTTTTTTCAGAAAACCATTTCACTTAATTTCTTAGATTACTTAATTACTCAACTTTTTATTTCTTAGGTTTTAAAATATATTTTCTTTTACCCATGTTTTCTCAGGCTGAAAACCTGCTGCTAGATGGTGATATGAACATTAAGATTGCTGACTTTGGCTTCAGTAATGAATTTATGGTGGGCAGTAAGCTGGACACGTTCTGTGGAAGCCCACCTTATGCTGCTCCTGAGCTCTTTCAGGGAAAGAAGTACGACGGGCCAGAGGTGGACGTGTGGAGCCTTGGGGTCATACTTTACACACTGGTCAGCGGCTCTCTACCTTTCGATGGACAGAATCTCAAGGTTTCACCCTCTTTTATCAATGTATTTTTTTGTGTGAGTTTGTTTATGTCACTGCATACTTACTGCTGTGTCTATTCTACAGGAATTGCGCGAACGTGTGTTGCGTGGTAAATATAGGATTCCTTTTTACATGTCCACTGACTGTGAGAATCTTCTCAAGAGGTTTCTGGTCTTAAACCCGGCTAAGAGAGGAACATTAGAGGTTTGTTATTTAGTCCATCTGTCATTCTTTCATATGCTGTCATATGCTGTGTAATTCCACAATCAGAACAGTTTTTTGTAATGCCTGTTTTGGTCAATGTTGCTCTGATAGTTGTGTAAATTGCTTCCTCACTTTGTCACTTTGGATAAAACTGTCTGCTAAATGACTAAATGTTAATGTAAATACAATATTGAACATTTGATAATTAATACCAGTATGAATTTCAGCAGCACTTTTTAATAACTCTTGACATTCTGCACTGAAAATGTAGTTTTTTTCATGAAATGTTTGTGAAAGTATGTGTTGGCAAATACTGTTATATTGATGCATACAAGTGAGATTTATTAAATAATTGTATTTGTTATACGTAACGTTTTAAACTATCTTAAACTGTATATATTTTTGTACTTTTTCTATAATTTAAATATAAACAATTACTCAAATATAAACACTTGTTTATGAGTAATTTGTTGTTTCTTTAGTAATAAAGCATACATATAATTAATCAAAAGTGATTAACCATTGAAAAAGTGCTGTCATGAATTTTCCCCTAGGCATTGAAAAGCCATTCTCGTTCTAAACTTGATTGTTTCTGAACTCTCTCCTTCAGCAAATCATGAAAGAACGCTGGATCAACTCTGGGTTTGAGGATGACGAGCTCAAACCCTTCACTGAGCCAGATGCTGACATATCTGACCAGAAGAGAATTGGTAAGAGGAAATTAAGCAGCACTTCTTATTCATGCAGAAAAGAGAAAGAGTATGTTTAAGACAAAGTTATTAATATTTCCCAAGTGTGTTCGTAAATTTTCAGCTCAAAATGTCTATCAGATAATTTATTATATCCGGCTGAATATGGGAATTTTGAGGTCGAGGAAACGGTTGCTGTATTTGTAGCCTGTGCTTTTAAATTTAAATTCAATTCAATTGATCTTTATTTCTTTAGTGCTTTTACGATATAGATTGTGTCAAAGCAACACAACGTAGAAGTTCTAATAAATTGCATTTGAAACTGTCAGTCCAGTTTTCAGAGTTCAAGTTCAATTCAGTTCAGTTTAGTATGGTTTAGTTTTCACTGCTAAATGTCCAACCACTGAAGAGCAGATCCATCAATGTGCAGCTTCACAAGTCCCAAATCAAGCAAGCCAGTGGGGACCAATGGACATCACCTTTTGACGAAAATGAGAAGAAAAAAAAGCTAGAGAGAAACCAGGCTCAACTGAGCACAACCATTTTTCCATTGTGGAGAAACTGCATGTGTGTGTGAGTAGGTCACCGCCGGGTGTACAGGCTGATCCCTCTGGATAAATGCGGAGACTCGTCTGTCACTGGGGTCTTTTAGGAATCAGTCTCATGCTCTCCACTTCTCCATGATCGCCACAGCATCTGCTCAGTTTAAATTTGAATGTATTTTTATTTCACAGGGACAATGCTCATTACTAAACAGTGAAACTGTAAATAAGCCAAAGTTAGCCACAAGGGCTAATTTTCATCTGTTGCCCCCTGCCAGATTTTAAAAGGCAACCTAAAATCAAAAAACACATCATCACACATACAAAAACAGTAAAGTCACATATGAAAAAGGGATAAAAACATGTAATAAGAATTTCTTAAAATGTTAGACAAAAGAATTACACATGATTACAAACTTGATTTGGTTTTAGCCATTTCTTTAACTTGTATTTAAAAGTTGAATAGTTTGTAACACCCCTTAAATCAATCGGAAGTGGGTTCCAAAAATGACTGGCTCTAACTGAGAAGATGATCATGAAAAAGTGCATCTAAAGGCTGATTTATACTTCTGCGTCAAACGCCGGCGTATGCTACGGCGCTGACGCATAGCCCTTTGCCGTGGCCGTCGGCGTTGCTGACGTGCACCTCTCAAAAAATGTAACTACACGTCGCAACGACGCGTAGCGCAAGCTCTGTGATTGGTCGGCTTGGTAGCGCTGACGAGTCTGGGCGGGATCGAGAGCCGTGCGAATGGTGCAAGCCTGATGTAGCGATTGTTTACAAGTGTGGTGTTCCGTTAAGGAGCTCCTGATGGAGAGTTTTGTTTTGTTTACCTCATGGTTAAAGTTGTTGCACGTCCGCCGGTTCCTGCCTCAAAATGAGCGAGTTTGAGCCACTTGTACATCCAGGAAGTGTTCAGGAAAAGAAAAACAACAGCAAAGAAACTCGACACAGAGGAACATTTACACCTCACTGCCATTTAGCATTTTGTAAGTGTTAATGCAGACCAACAGAGACACCGCGCAGAAGTATAAATGCACAGCTAAGGGTGTTGCATGCGTCATGAGTTACGCCGGTCACTTGACGCAGAAGAATAAACCAGGCTTCAACTGCACAGCACAGTCTCCTCTGGTAACAGATCGTGTTGCTCGACCATATTGTTCTTGTGTGTCACAAACTCACATAATGGGGGTTGGAGCATATCCATTTAAAATTTAAAAAATCATACAAGCTTTAGCCAAATATTTCATGTTATCAAAGCTCAATAAATAATGTTTTTGTATTATATTACAGTGATGATACCTAATAGACTTCTGATCAAATACTTTAAGTGCCAGTTTATAAAGTGATTCAACTGATTTTAAAACTGTTTTACTAGCGTGTGACCAACTAGTAGGACAATATGTAACATGAGAAAAAATCATTGAGTGCATAAAAAGTTTTGCTGCTTCATTAGTCAAGTAAAGTTGTATATGCCTGAAGTTGGCCAGATTAAATTTAACAATTTTAATAACCCTCTTGGCATGCTTTTGGAATGTTAATTGAGAATCTAAAATTTGACCTAAATTTTTAAAATCAGAGACAACCCTGAGCTTTTCTCCTTTAACAAATACATCAGGATGATAGGTAACTGTCAATGTTTGTGAGAAAAACATACAAACCGTTTTACTTGTATTCAAATTAAGGTATGATTCACACAACCAATCAGATACATGAACTGATGCCTCGGTTAAATAATTTGCTGCCAGTTGCTTGTTTTTTGCGTGCACATATAGAACTGTATCATCCGCATACATCTGAATATTAATAGTAGGACAGACTTGTGGGAGGTCATTTATATACAGGCTAAACAGGATTGGGCCCAAAATGGATCCTTGAGAAACTCCACATTATTAATTCTGTATACTGATTGACTATTACCAAGGCGCACACATTGTTTCCTATTTGTTAGATATGAAGTTATCCAAATAATCGCCTCTGATGAAAAGTTATAAAGCTTAGAAAGGAGTACCTCATGATTTACTGTGTCAAATACTCTTTTTAAATAATAAAAAAAAAAAACGGCTCCTATTACTCCTCCAAGTTTGGATTTCATATTCTCTATAAGATAACAATTAGCACATTCGGTTGAGTAATTAGTTTGAAATCCAAACTGCATTGGATGTAAAGGAGTATGTCCCGCATTCAAGTAAGCAATCATTTGCTGTGCTACCCATTTTTCTGTTACTTTGGCAACTAGGCAATATACTAATTGGCTTATAGTTTTGCACATTTGTTTGCTCGCCAGCTTTAAAAATTAGTGTCACTATGGCTAATTTCCAAGCATCTGGGTATATACCTTGTGTAATTGAAAGATTTATTAGATGGGTGATAGGCCCATGTAGTATATCCTTGTATGTTTTTAAAAACACAGAATCTAATTCATAAGCGTCTTTTGCTTTTGAAGTTCTAAGTGAGTCTGTAATGTTTAAAACCTCAGATTCAGATATTTCATCTATTTTAAAAATTGGTTTATTGGTGTAATTTATTGGTCTTACATTTTGATAAAGTTTTTTGCTAGTTCTGCAACAGAATTAATAAAATAATCATTAAAAATATTTGCAAGTCTTTCTTGATCATGAATAAAATTTCCATTTATTTTATTCTTAATTCACTTAGGGCTCTATTTTGACGGTCCATGCACAGAGTGCAAAACGCAGGGCACAAACCCTTTCAGGGTGTGTCAGAACGCATTTTTGCTAATTTAAGGACGGGAAAATCTGCTTTGCGCCGTGGCGCATGGTCTAAAAGGGTTGAGTTCATTTTCTTATTGAGTTATAGGTGTGTTTTGAGAATAAACTAATTAGAGTCTCATCTCGTATTCCCTTTAAGAGCCAGCTGCGTCGTGCCATAAGCGCATTCGTATTTACAGGACGTAAAGTAAGTCTAAGTGGAAAAACTGAGCATTTCACTAGCTAACAGTTAACAGTTTTTTTTAACAGAAAAATGAGAGATAATGGAACTACTTTCACTTTCGCTCTTGGATAGGAAAACCTTTACGCACAGACATCAATTAGTCTATAAATAATTAATTTTGTTTGTTCAGCGCAAATATTCGTTTCAAAACTATTTCTAAATTTAGTTCTAATTTCCAGCAAACGAATAAATTAACAATATTAACGAAGTGTGCTCAAAAACCTGAGTTATATCCTAAAACACATGCTGTGCCCCATATGGTCTAAAACCTGACAGGTGGGCAAATCTAAGCTTGTTTTTAATAAAACAAACATAAATATGGATATAATAAATAATACTGCTAATAATAATAACATTATACAAAAGAAAATTGTTATGAATGAACTGAAAAAGCCTCCCGAGATGAAGACATAAAAGCAGTGATTTTTTATATTTATATAGGCTAGAAAATAATGTCTTGTAATATTTTAATCCTTTATATTTATATCCTATATGTTACATATATGCTGGAGATAAACATTTCGTTCAACATTACATAAAAATGGTCTGGTTTCAATTTCCAGGGCAATTTAGATCACTCGGTGACAAAAAGTCTGGCCTAAAAAAATTCCTGCTGACAAGTAACGAGTTTGAGACGTTCCACAGAACAGTCCTAAAGTACTCTCTGCCGACTTCAAAGGGACATGGCTGATAAGATAAGAGGAAATACCCATCTAGAAGCCCTCTCCTCACAGAAGAAAAAGACATTCCTCTCCAATGTTTTTTTTTTTCTATTTAAACAAAGATATTTAGAACCCAAATCTCTTGTTTAATTACACTTAACTTTTGTAATGTGTACCATTCCTCATAGTTTATACAAATTCGTACATTTTAGGCCTTTTTAAAGCATAAATAATATGAGGATGTGAAAAATCATGTTGATGTACTTTTAAACCCCCCATGTTTGGTACCGATGGGTTTCTGCTGACATTTTACAACACGATACATAGAGCAAAATCATAACTCGCATTGCTTTATTCTTTAAATCCCTGTATTAAATGCCTGTCCGCATGCTCTGGGCGGACACTCAAATTTGCATACGTTGAGCCTCGAGACAAAGGAAGGATTCGCGCTTAAACTTTCCCCTGAAATCATTGGTCAGAATGCTGAACGGGTTGACACGTGACCCGCAGGTATAACCAGACTTCTCCCCAAATATCGCGGAGAACGTCCGAACAAAGAACCCATCAAAACGTGGCCCCTTTGAGGGCCACGAGGTCTTCTAAGCCGCATGGACTTTTCCCGCCACGCTTTTCTTTATTTTCCGGCAAAGTAAACTCAGTTTAAAGTTTGCGATCGTGTTCGTCCGAACTGCATTACAAACTCCACGCATCAAAAAGGACATCAAAAGGAGTTTTCATCACGACGGAAGAGAGACTCGCATAGGAGAGACCTCCAGACATGAAAGTCCAGGTGATTTTAGTTATGCGATTTAAGCTGTGCCCCTTTTATCAAAAAAGGTGTTTTTGTTTTTATAATCTTGG